CCACGCCCGCACACTGCTGGCCCATACCCAGAATGTGAACTTTTACAGGTGGGTTGATTGTGACTGATTTAATGTATTGTGATCCAGTCTTTTCTTTTTGTGTGTTTAATTGCTGGCAATGCCATGCCGAGACCTCACAGCATCTGTATGTGTCCCTTGTTGCTGAATAACAGATCACCTGTCTCCATGGCTTAAAACAACACTTATTGATTAGCTCAGTTCTGCAGAGCTGCAGTCCTGGCCTGCCCATCCGAAGCTCAGGCTGGTCATCCTGCAAACTTAATGTTCGCAGAATTCAGGTCCCTACAGCGTAGGACTGAGGTTGCTGCTGTCTTGCTTACTGGTAACCAGAGATCAGTTGTAGTCACTAATGGCCACTTTCACGTCCTTTCCAAGTTTCCCTTTCCACTCTTGGAGGCAGCAAAGGAAAACATTCCTTGAGTCAGTTCTCACTCAGGAAGGGCCAGGTGCTGCTAAGGGCTCCCCTGGTTAGGTGATGCCCACCTGGGTCTTCTCCCTTTTAATTAACATGCAGTCGATTGATTGGGGATCTAACCACAAGACACAGATTCTATACATACTCAACCAGAAGTGATGATCTTGAGGACTATGCTGTTTCCTATTGCTGCTGTAAGAAATTGTCACAAACTGATCAGCTTGAAACAACTGGATTTTATTATCTCACGATTCTGTAGACCATAAGCTTGGAATGGGCTCTGAGGGCCCCCTCCTTTCTGGAGGATCTGGGAGGACAAGTTTGTGCGTTGCAGCTTCCAGAGACTCCCTGCATCCGCTCACATGCGGTCCCTGCATCTCCAAAGCCAGCGGCTCTATGTGTTCAGCCTCTGCCTGCCTCTTTCCTCCTTCTCCCCTGGCCCCTCTACTTCCCTCTTTCTGTTTCAGGAAAGTTCATGATGAACCTAAAACCTCTGGGACCATCTCCCCCCCTCAGGATCCTTCATTTAACCAGGTCTACAGTGTCCCTTGTGCTGCATACAGTAACAGGTCCTCAGGTTCTGAGCATGACTCTGTGGGCACCTTCGGGGCCCATTATTCCTCTTATTTCAGAGCAATGCAGGGTCATCGCTCCTGCTCCCTCTGAGAAGTTTGCATTCATCACTTATAAGAGCCACAGCTGTAGCATCTCACTAAATTTTGCATGCTTTTCACACGTTTATGTCTAAAATTTGTTTGTCCATTGACCGTCTTTTCTTTCCCTCTTATTCTGTTCTGTCATTTTTTGGCTCAGTAAAACTTTGCAGCCTCTTAACATCATAGATTTGACAAGGGCTGTCCTGTGTCTCCGGCATCATCCATCTCCTCAGCGCCCAGGGATCCATGTGCTCATCCATTCTTCCCGATTTGCATTTCGTTACTGTTTTTCTCTTCCTTTGGATCATGTAGCGTTTCTACAGGGTGGGATACACGAAGTGTGGAGCTAATATCTCAGGGCCATTTCTCACTCGAAGACTATGTTCAGGGTTATTCCAGTCCCCACTTCTCATACTGTGTCTTCTGGTGGTGAGACTCGCTTGCTGAAAGCATCCTATACCCCGTGCTCATATCTAAAAGCAGGTCTAGATTCTCACGGTTGAGGGCTTCGGCTGAGCCACAGTTTCCACTCTTTCTGCTGACGGGGTGGGGGCTGCCCTCGATCTCTTTTGGCATCTCCTGTCACCATCATCACCACCACCACCATCATCCCATCACCCTCACCTGTGCATCCTGTTTCTCTCCTCCAGATGGTTCTGCCACCGCACCAGGGGACTCTGCTGAACGCTCCATTAAGCTCTGATAATGTAGCACCATCTTTCCTGTGTTTCAATTTCCCAGCCATAGGAGAGATTCGTGCTCCATTCCTTGCCTTGTCTTCATTCTACAAAGGCTTCACAGTTTTCCCTGGATACATTTCTGATGGAGTTGATCAAATGAATTCTCACATGTTCAAAGGTTTTCTGTCCTTGTGACAAACCAACCAGGCACTCAGGGAACCGTAACAATGGAAATTATTTTTTCAACTCATTTCATTTTCCACAACCCCTTAATTGATTTCTGTGTATTTTCTCGGTGGAGTAAATCCTTGATGGTCACAGTTTGCATAACTTACAAGAGAGCATGAGGGGCCATGATATGGCCTCCTAGATCATTTTGCTGGGGTTCAGAATTCAACCACACCCCCTATGGAGGAGAAAGTGCAGGACAAAGTCACTTTTCAGAGGGAAGCTGCTAACCACACACTCAGGGTCTCAACATGGATTTACTGTTTACTTATAAAAACTCCCATAAAGTGAGACAAGTTGCATTTCTTTGTACAAAAAGAAATGACCTCTATAGAAGCCAACTGCTAAGTAAACACTTAAGCAGAGAATTGTCTTTAATAAATTTTAGTTCAATATTTCCCAAGTCATGCTCCATTTAAAAGTGTTCCCAGGGGTGAGTATTTAGCTCAGCACACAGCACCTGCCTGGCAATCACAAGGTCCTGAGTTCAATTCCCAGCACAAAAAAAGTGTTCCCAATATTAATAGTTATGATAACAAGGAAGAGGAGGAGGAAGAGGAAGAAGAAAAAGAGGAGGGGGGAAAAGAGGGAAGGAGGAGGAGCAGAAATAGAGATCCAATATAAGTTTAAGAGATGTTGGGCTGGGGATTTAGCTCAGTGGCATAAGTGCCTGCCTAGTAAGTGCCCGGTTGTGAGTTCAATCCCTGGTACCAAAAGAAAAATAAAAAGAAATGCCGGATATTATATACTTGTTACTACCCAGTACTTTCACTTAAAGATTTATCACAACCACACGTGTGTTAGGATTTCTGAGACCTCTTCCAATAAAGAACTGTTCCGTTTTGTTTCCTGTTTTTCTCATGGCACATAGTGTACCATGAACCACTAATTTGGGACTAATACGATCCCTTAATGAGTCAGAATGATCATTTAAAACATCTCTACCTCAGCAAACCTCGTTTTTTACAGCAGATTTTATATGCAACGATAATGTTCTTCATTTGTGGTTTCCGGGAGACTTTGCAATTTATCTCATTGCACTCATCCCAGAACACCTTTAAATCATCAACAAATGTGATATTTTTCTTTCTTCATTTCACATTTTGGTGCAATTTATTTGTTTTCCTTTCTGCACAACTGTTTCAGCAGGTCTGCACTCTGCCGTTTATTTGATCATTTACCAAACCTATCTGCTGTGCTCACTGTGTAATAAGTGCATTACTAATAACAACTCACAGACCTGACATAACCACACCGCATGCCATTATTGCTACTCTATTTCACAGAAGGAAAACTGAGGTATGAAACGATGATAAAGCAATCTCGCCTAGCTCAGACTTCTCCAGAAAACTGTCACTAATATTTAGCGGTGATATTGGTTCTAATTGTAAACACAAACTTCATATTGTATAAAGGGGGAAAATCCCTATTCTGTTTTTTAGTTGATGTTAAGTATAAAATTTTGCTGAAGCCCTTCCTTAGATTTTTTCATAATTACCTTTCACAGTCTTTGCCACTGAGGTGAATACACTTTCTGCCTTTTTAGATTAATAAAGCACAGTGCTGACTTGGTTTAGATTATATGCTGCAGCTTGTTTATGTGTCTTTCTGACATGAATGAGATGGCATGGCTGGCTTCTTTCAGGAGGGGAGGAGGTGCAAATCACAGGTGCCTCAGTGGATCTAACACATAAATGTTTATGCACTGGACCCCACTGACCGCTGAAGATCCCAGGGGTTCATACTACAGGAGAACACAGAAGGAAGCGGGCTTCCTACCACCCTATGGAACAGGAATAGGAGAGGACGGTGTCAACAATCCCGAGAACTTTGTAAGTGCTCAGAAGCGTATGAATCCACATTTGTTTTCTATTGCTTTGTTTTATTCCCAGTACCCCCCGTACACACACACCCAGGCCCAAGATGACTGAACCAAGCAGCCCCAGGTTAACTGACTGAATACACAGCACCTCTGCCCACCTTCTTTACAGGTATAAACCCACAACCTGGCCAAGTACCCGCATCCGGTGACTGTTCAGACAATATTTATTTACATAAAGGAAGTCAGCCAGCTTTTTAATCAACCCAGCTGCCAAGCCAGGTTTTTAAAAGGGAGGACTGATGGCAGTAGGCTTGTTGGACAGGTCAGCAAGAAACAGAAGATTTCACCCTCCTATGACATGGTGGGTGGGGGGCCTGGCTTGGAGGGACCCAGAAAGAATCCCTGTGACCTGCAGAAAGGCAGAAGGACCCCAAGGCTGTGCTGGCGGCTGCCAGTGCAGGAGAAAAATCTGAAGGTTCTCAGAGCCCTGGTTCCCTGCCTGACACAGGTGCTGTGACTTGTGTGTCCCCAACAGGCTCTGTGACCCCAAAGTCATGGCCAGGGTCTATTTCACACAAAGCTGCTGGCTCCAGAGAGCTGGAAGGGGCAGAAGTTAGGGACCACCAAGGATCAGAGAACAGGTCTCACTTCCTGACTGCCCTCAGCCAGTCCCCTGGCTGACCCTGGAGACCAAACACACTCAGAACCAGGAGCAGGTGCACAGGGAGTGGACATGCCCCACCCAGGGACAGCCGCCAGGGCCCAGGCACCGCTCTCCCCTCCTCTTCTCCACCTCTGCTCCTGCCTGTGGTCCCCATTCCCTGCCATCTCACCTCCCCCACCTGGGGAGGCCCTCTCCCCACTAAAACCCTGTTTCCCCTTTGGGTCTGAACTCCGCCTCTTCACCTGAGATTCCAGCCTTGGCCCCTCCAACCTGTGCCCCTGCCCCTGTCCCACCTCTTCTCTCCTCCCCCTCCCTGGTCCCTGTCCCCAGGCCAGGGGTGCTGTGACTCCCCCAGCTGCTCTCTCCTCTCCCATCTTGGTGGGGTCCACAGCCAGTTCTCCTGTTGCTCGGAGCTGTGGAGGCAGTTGCTAAGAGACAGTAAAACGTCACTACCTGGCCCTCGAGGAAAAAGGGGAGCGAGAAAGCGAGAGGGGAGGGCAGGGATGGAGGGAGGGGAGGGAGGGGAAGCCCTGGCTCAGCTGAAGCCGCCCACCCAGGCGGCCTCGGCCCCAGCCGAGTTTCCCCGAGCGGCGTTCCGATTCTGCGAACTTTCCACCAAGCCTTCGCCCTCGGATTGCCGGTGTGGATAGAAGAAGGGGCCTCGGGGCCCCGGGCCGGAAGGCACCGAAGATGCTGGCCCGGGATGCGGGAGAGCGGGCAGAGGAGGGCGGGGGGAGGGGCAGCGCCGGGTAGGCGTCCGCGGCTGCTGCTCGCTCGGGATCCCGGGAGCGGAGGGAGCTGCGCCGACTCCACGGCGTCCTTGGAACTGGTAAGCGGGCGTGGCGCGGGGACCCTGGGGAGACCTGGGGAGACTCTGGATGGGGGGGAGGCGCCCCCTCCCCTGGGGATTGCCCAGTGGGCGAGGCCGAGGATGGAAGCGATGGCAGCGAAGGCGCGGTGCGGGGAGGCCAAGTGAGGACAGCGGGCCGGGATCGGAGGCGCCGGGGACCCTGGAAGGGGCAGTGGGGCGGGGGCACCGCTGTGCGCCCCGCGGTGGGCGTGGGCTCCGCTGGGGAGCCGAGGGGAGTGCTTGTGCTGGAGGATGCTGGGATCAGATGGGAGAGCGCAGGGGAGGCCTTGGGGTGCGCTGGGGATGGGTCCACAGGGGCTGAGCGGAGGGAGGGGCGAGGCGATAGGAGGCGCGCGGGCAGGGAAACGCCAGGAAGGCGCAGGATGGGGCGCGTGGGGGGCGTGAGGCAGAAGTAGGGGCGGCGGCCTTGAAAGTGTTTGAAGGGGTGTGCGGTGGACCAGGCGTGTTTTTCCTAGGGAGTCGTTCCAGGGTGGGGTGCTCCAGGCTGGTGGAGGCGGAGCTCTGAGCAGAAGAAAATGCGCCCAGCCCAGGACAGAGAGCAGGGGGAGGATAGCTGACGCTGGAATGGGGAGCGCTGGGTGACCCCACTGGAGGCTGAGCTGGGAGCCCCCTCCCCTAGGTTCACATCTGAAAGACAGCAAACTGAACTTTGCAGTTGGAGTCCAAGGAATGAAAGGGGGAGAGAGATGAGTAAGGGGGAATCTGGGCTCTTGGCTGAGGGGACAGGGGTGCGGGGGTCCCCACTTCACAGCCTGACTGCCTTCCTTGCTAACAGTGTGAATTCCATCCCCACTTGCTGAGTGCAGAGCTGGACCCCGTGGGCTGAAGGAGCAGTGGAAGCAGCCCTGCAGACCCCTGACCCGGACCCCCAGGACACACGGCTCTTCCCAGCTTTGGCGGCCCAGATGATGGGTATCACTTGGGGTCCTGTCTTCCCTGGAGATCCCAGCAGCCACTGAGGCTGAGCACGGTGACTTGCAGGAGGCTCATGGAGATTTCCTTCCTCAGGGGTCCCTGCCCACCAGCCCCAGTCCAGGACCTCCTTGATCTCCAGCCCACTGGGCCCCCCAGGAGAACCAGCTTCTGCCACCTCAGCTGCTGCATACCCAGGTGCAGCCTGGCTTCCTGATCTGTCTCAGACTGGGGACAGGGCTTAGGCTTTCTCAGAAGACGTGCCAGGACCTTTAAAGCCCCACTCCCACCCCACCCCCCCACATCAAGAAGAAGCATCTTGCAGGCATGGGTGGCAAGGGCACCAGAGACCTGCAGGGGCCCTCCCAGGACCTGCCAGCAGCTGTGCCAGCCCCAGCCTTGTCCCCCTCTTTTCTCTGGGTTTGACCTTCCTTTCAGACCCTGAGGGATCTCAGCTGGGTTCTCAGATCCCTGTGCTCCCAAAGGTGCCTTCCTGTGGCTCTTAGGAAGCCCTGGCACTAGGGGGACCCTGGAGAGGCTGGCACCATGGGACCACGTGGGCAGAAGCCCCACCTTCAGGATTGTGGCCTGTGATGCGGCTGCTACCTTCCAGGGCCCTGACTCAACTGCGTGCACAGAGTCTGCTGGGCACCCTTCAGCCCTGCCAGTGCCAGCTTCCCAAGATGGGCGAGGCCTGGGCCCAGCTCCCCTGGCCTGGGCCCTGCCACCCAGCCATGCTGCTGCTCTCCCTCCTCCTGGCAGCAGGGGTGCTCCCCTCGAATGGGGGTGCCAGCTGCCCGGTCCTGTGCACCTGCCATCACCAGGTGGTAGACTGCAGCAGCCAGCGGCTGTTCTCTGTGCCCCCCGACCTGCCAACAGACACACGCAACCTCAGCCTGGCACACAACCGCATCACCGCCGTGCCGCCCGGCTACCTCACCTGCTACCTGGAGCTCCACGTGCTGGACCTGCGTAACAACTCCCTGGTGGAGCTGCCCCCGGGCCTCTTCCTCCACGCCAAGCGCCTGGCGCACCTGGACCTCAGCTACAACAACCTGAGCCACGTGCCGGCTGACATGTTCCAGGCAGCCCACGGGCTGGTACGCATTGACCTGAGCCACAACCCCTGGCTGCGCAGGGTGCACCCACAGGCCTTCCAAGGCCTGGTGCAGCTCCAGGACCTGGACCTTAGCTACGGGGGCCTGGCTTTCCTCAGTCTCGAGGCCCTCGAAGGCCTGCCTGGCCTGGTGACGCTGCAGATCGGGGGCAATCCCTGGGTGTGTGGCTGCTCCATGGAGCCCCTGCTCAAGTGGCTTCGGAACAGAATCCAGCGCTGCACAGCAGGTAGGGGAGGAGGCTGGGGGAGGGAGGCCGGAAGCAAAGGCTTGGAAGGAGGGAGAGGCCTGGAGGTCCTCAGCAGCTTCCTGTAGTCCAATGTGTGCTGCCCTTTGGACACCTGCTCTCTCCATCTCCAAGCGTTTGTTCCATTCTTACAACACATGTATTGTCCTGGGGTCCAGTGCATAGATGAAGTCATTCTGCCATGGCCTCGGTGGCACTCGTAACCTGGGGAGGCAGGCAGACAGTAAGCACAGGGGAAGAGCTAGCTGGAGACGTGTCTGTTAGCTTCCAGTGGGCCTGAAAATGTGGTGTAGATTATCACATGGACCCCGTTCCTACCATCCGCATTTTCAGGTGAACAGACTGAGTTAGAGCAGCGGAAGGTGTATTGAGCCACTCACTCAGGAAGTGGTAGAGCCATGCAGAAATCCGGGTTTATTTGACTTCTCGGCTTCATTCTGCTCTACCAAGCTATCTTGCGTGCTAAGAAAGCTCTGGAGAAAGAGCAAGTAAGAATCCTTGCTTGTTTTAGTGTTTACTACCTGCCACCCCCTGTTCAAAGCTTGTTACCTGCAGAAGCTCATCCCATCCTCATAGCAGCGCCAGTGGAGCTGCTGCCCTGCAGAGGAGGAAACCAAGGCACAGGGAGATGCAGAGTCTTGCCCCAGTCACACAGCTGGAAGTGTCCCAGTCAGGGCCCGTACCCTGGCCATCTGTTTGTCATCTGGCCTAACAGAGCCTGGGTTCTGGGCTGGCTGAGGATGCCAGCGAGGGCTGTGCGGGTGAGCATGGGTCAGGCGGCCATGGCAGGGGCTGAGCTGCAGCAGTTTGAGCAGACAGGCCCACCCACAGGGGCCTGACATGTACAGGTCTGCTGGACCCCTGGGCCCAGCCCAGCCCAGGAGCAAAGTGTGGCAGTGGCAGTGGCCACAGCTCCCTTGGGACATGCTAAGCTGCGGCTCACATGCCCAGCTGCAGGGTGACGGATGTTACTGGGCTCTGTCCCAGGGTGTTTCCTCTCCTGGGCTCAGCATGCTCACAGTGAAGGGGGCCAGAGGGAAGGACCAAGTGGGGAGCCCAAGACCAAAACAGTCTGGGGGGCGGGTCTGTAGGTCACAATTCCTGTGTTTCCACAGAGCTGTGGGAGGACATTCCCTGGGCCCGAAATAGGTGGGGCTGGGATGGGGTGAAGCTGGCAGGCAGGACGAGGAGGCCGCTAGAACCGTGGCAGCCAACTCTGCAGCCCAAGTCACCCTCTGTCCTGTGTGCCAAGCGCAAGAGGCGTTGTGGGGTGCCCGGCTTTTCCCGGCACTTCCCTGCTGCCCTGGGGAAGTCCAGACCCCCAGCAAGCAGGGCAGGGGCCTAAGGTCTCTCACTTATCGGAGCAGGTGTTATCAGAGCAGGTGGGTCACCTGCATGCCAGAGATAGATAGGGATGTCCACAGACCAGGGAGAAAAAGCAGACAGGCCGCATACGGACCTGACCCCATTCCTCTCCGAACACACACTGCATCTTGCCATATTCTCCAGCCGTCCTCCTGGGCACAAAGCGAGGGAGAACTAGGTGATGTTTTCCTTGCTGTGTTTCTCCATCATCTCTCTACTGGGAGCCTCACTATTATCCATGAAAGGGGGGTGGGAAGAGGACGCAACAAGCATAGAAAGATTGAGGGAGTTCTTGGGATGCCCTCAACTTCAGGGTCTATGTGTCCCAGCCTGCATCTGGTGTGGTCCCCCATGTCCCCTTGGCTGGCTCAGGTTCCCCCAGTTCTCACTGTTGCACTGCTACTTAGCTCGGGTACACAGTAGGTTCTGGAGCTCAGCGTCTTCCAGTTCCCGGGGTGGGGGGTCCAGCTCCAGACACAGTCCTGGCTTGGGAGAACCCTGGGGTCTTAGCACACAGCCCACAGGACTGCCTCGACTTCCCAAGCCAGCAGCAACCTTCATCCATTGGTCACCAAGACGGATCCAGGCCCACCTTCTTGTTCTTTACCACCCAGAATTTTCAGAGTGAACACAGAGCATCTATACACCCTAAATTTTAAAAGCTTCACACTGTCTTAGGAAACTTAGGTGGAATCACCCCCTCTTACAGAGGCAAGACGGCGTGAGAACCAGAAAAGGGGAACAAACTCTCTGCAGGTAGCAGTTTGGTTAAAGTTGAGCCCCTGCACTGAGGTGTAACTGCAAACTGGCAGTTTGGAGACCTTCCCCTGGCTCCTGCCTCCAAGGCCCAGCGAGATAAGACCATTAACCCCACTGAGTCATAGAAAGGGAGGAAGGAAGACCAGGTGAGGGTGAGAGAGAACAGGAGAGGAAAGGAGCACCTCTCCAGGGTGCTGAGAGAGGCCAGTCCCCAGCAGGCAGCATCTTGGGCTGCATAGCAACGTGAACACACCCTTTATGGACTTTAACTCATTGGTTCCTCACCATAACCCTGGGAGGGAGAGGCTATCACTGTCCTCATCTGGCAGACGAAGAAATCGAGACACAAAGGCACTAGATGGCATGCCAGACGGCCACACAGCCGGAGGTGACCCTGTGTTCTTGACCTTGTGCTCAGCGCGTAGGGGAAAGCCAGGCCTGTAGCAGAGAGGCGTTCAGCTAGCAGAAGTCACTGGGGCACTCACTATGGGCAGGATAGTGTTCCGATGCTGGCACTGCTCAAGGCAGGGGAGACAACTCCAAGGGGGAGACAACACCCGATACACAGAGGAACTGTCCGACAGGGATAAATAACTTGCAGGCAAATGAAGTGGAGTCAGTAGGACAGGGTATCTAGGACTGCGGAGTGGGGTTGTTATTTTATACAGAGTCATAAGGGGAAGCCCTGCAGATAAGAGGTATTGAGAGGGGGCCCAGTGAAAGCAAGGTCCTGGGCTGTGCCAACACCCCTCAGGGCAAAGACCCCTCATGAGGAACAGAGGCCACCCCTTCCCACCCTGAGACGAGAGGACTGGGCAGGAAGGGGAGAGAAGAGACAGAAAAGAGGTCTCGGAGCCCAGGATGACAAGGAGCCTGGCTTCCATCCTGTCGGGGATGGGAAGGCCAGAAGCAGTGAGGTAATAAAGCGTCACCACACTGAATGGGCCCACGAGGGGCATGGGCAGAAGCCCGTGGCCAGGTATGAGGCTAACCATCGTAAGAGGTGACGGCCTTGTCCCAAGCCCAGGGCCACTGCTGCCAGCAGCTTCAGCTTTCAGCAAAGCCTGACCTCTCCAAGCAGTGATTTCTCACGTCCATAAAAATAAGTATAAAAATGCCTGGAGGGCTGCCTGGGAGACTGAAGAAGATGCAGAAGTGTCTTGGCATGTGAGAAACTCGGGGCTTCCTTCCTCCCAGGTGGGGTGGGGATGCACTCCCTTCCCTTCCCTTCCCTTCCCTTCCCTTCCCTTCCCTTCCCTTCCCTTCCCTTCCCTTCCCTCCCCAGCTGCCTCACCTCCCGACTCTCTGTTGCAGATTCCCAGCTGGCTGAGTGTCGGGGCCCCCCTGAAGTCGAGGGCGCCCCCCTCTTCTCGCTCACAGAGGAGAGCTTCAAAGCCTGCCACCTGACACTGACGCTGGACGATTATCTCTTCATCGCCTTCGTGGGCTTCGTGGTCTCCATTGCTTCAGTGGCCACCAACTTCCTGCTGGGCATCACGGCCAACTGCTGCCACCGCTGGAGCAAGGCCAGCGAGGAGGAGGAGATCTGATGGAGGAGCTCGGCACCCCGGCCACCCGCCCAGCCACCTGCTCGGGTTCCAGGGTGCCCCAGCCACCTCCACGGCGGGTCAAAAGTGGTCAGGACGCTCACATAGTGTGAGCCCCTGTCCGCTGGGTGGGACACTGTACTGGGAGCTAGGAGCCTGAGGGGAATCCACGCCGTTTCTGCCCTCGAGGTGCTACTTCCGGCAGAGGAGGGAGATTTGAAGTGGCCACAGACAGGGCACGAAGGGCAGGGACCTCACAATCCGAGAAGAGTGACAAGCGTAGAGTGACATGTGGGCTGGGCCAGGAGAGGCCGCTGGCTGGGGACAGTGGCTGTGGAGGGCGTGGCCTGGAACCTAACTGCCCCTCCACCCACGGAGCAATGCCCCAGGGGTGATAAGGCCACCAATCCAGCTGCTTGGCCTCCTCCCAGCAGCCACTGCCCAGGAATATGGCCTCCTGGGCAGCGCCCATCCTCTGCCACTCCCACCTGCCTTGGGGTCTCCCCAAGGAGCCATGCTGGGGGACACAGTCCCTCAGCACCACATTGTCCGAGGCTGGAGCAGCACGACTTCTTCACAGCAGTTCATGCTGTCAGGATAAAGGCCAGTGAGCTGCTGTCCCTGAGCTTCTCCTCTGGACAGTCTCCTCCCTCACTTGGTCTCCAGAGGGGAGCAGCGCTGCTCCGGCTTCTCAGATGAGGATGGTCAGCTCAGAGGCTGAGGTCCCTGCTGCTTCAGGATGAGAGGAAGCCCAGTCCCTTTGCTAAGGAACCTCGAGGCCCCGCTACAGCTATGTACATTCAAACCTCAGCTGTGCCGATGACGGCCAGTTAGGGCCGGGCGCCACTCCGGGAAGTTCTGCAGCCTTTGACTCAATACCATGGATTCTTACAACACTGCCGGAGGTTTCCATGACCCCTGCTTTACCAATGACTTAGTGGCAGCGAGCTGAGTACCATGCCCCAGCTCATCAGGGTGAACCTCCAAGAAGGGCATAGGCAACCCCATTCAGGGAAACCACGTCGAATCTGTCGGTCTGCAGACCACGAGATGCACAAAGCACAATTCCTGCCATCATAGCTGTCATCTTCATGGCCATTATCACTGTCCCTGTGCTGCTCAGTGCTGGGTGGACCAGGAAGGCTTTTGTGTCCCTCTGCCTGCCTTCTCACTACCTTACGTGGGAAGCAGACAGGACAGCAGCTACCTGATATGAAGTCTGCCTCGCCTGTGCGGCCAGGTTGGGCTCAACTCTAGCACAGGGCTCTTGGTTGAGCAGGGAGGACCAAGGATTCAGTACTCACATACCTGCTCCCTGAGGATAGTAAAATGCTGTGCCCACATCAAGAGGAGCACGCTGTGGGGCAACCTGGATTTTATGAGGTGTGACTGTGGTCAGGACTTAAACATCTAATTTATTACAGCAAAAAACACAACCATGCATTGCCCTCGAGATGCTCCAGTGTGCTTCAAACACACCTATCCTTCATCCTGGCAACCTTCATCCTGGCCACCTTCCGGAGCAGCTCTAGAAGTCTGCTCTCGTGTCTCTAGTTACGCTGTGTTGGCGGCCTCAGCATACTGAATCTACTGGAAAATGCTCCCTTCTCATGGTCATTTAGACTTAGGTGAAGAGCCAGAAACCCCACGGGGGTCAATCTGGTGAATAGGAGAAGAGGACACACCACCGTGACTGTAGGAGCCTGCCTTGCCAGTGGATGGTGCTCCTCAACAGCATGCACTGGATCTTTTATCGCACCTCGTACAGACCCTTTTGCAGGGCTAGGGTAGGCATTGAGGCAAAGTCTCGCGCATCAGCAAGGCTGGGCAGCATAAGAATGAGAACAGCGGCCTTCTTTCTTACCCTGACCCCCAAAGGCTTCCACCATCCTGTGCTTCCATAGCACAGAAATCAATGAACAAGAAGATGTTATCATCAAACAACCCCCCACACACAATCTGCCCTGAGCCAATCCATTAAAAATATCCCCCAGAAATTTAACTTTGCCTCCCCTGACTTGGGGCCAGGGCTCTGCTCCTGTGACATGCGGGGCAGGTCTGCTTCATCCACTGTCCACTGTCCTCCTGCTATGGTCAAGGATGGCAGACTCAAGCTGTTCTCTATCAGACAGGAACTTTTAGAAATAATAGTCCAAACAAAATAGTTAAGCTTCTGCTAGACGAACACCATGTTCATCTATAATACGCTCCCAGGGATTATTGTTTTGCTGAAATAGATGATACATTTTAAGACATGTACTTTCTTCCCTGTTTTTTTTTTTTTTTTTTTTTTTTTTTTCATAGAGCTAGAAGCAGACAAGATAACAAATGCCCTTGAGATCAAATGTCCTTTCTGGGGGATGATTTGCTCTCTGCTAAATGGTGAAGGTTTCTGAGATTCGTGCTTCTCTTGCTGCTAGAAAGTCTTTGGTTAAAACTAAAGCACAGTTAGGGGAATTATTAGCCTTCCCTACTGACAAGGAACTCCTCACCACCACCGCCACCAAAGTCTTCAGTCTGTCAGAACTAAACTTCTAGAAGCAATCTAGCACTCGTGGGAACCACAGGGCCATATTGGTGTCTTCATGGGGCTTCACTGTGTGTGTTTCCCCCTGGCTGACGTGTGTGGGATGGGGTACCACTGGGTCCATGTGTGTCTCCAGGGTTCCATTTCTGTGGATTATCTGCTGGTGTGATGCACAGAGAGAGCAGACTACCCAGAGAGGGGTGGTCTGGTTACTCAGAAAATATAAAAAGAAGAACTCTGCAGTGCCTCAGGAGGACCTGCCCCTTTCTTGTCTCCCTCCATCCTCTTCTTCCTCTCCGGGACTTGTCCTCATCACAGAAGTTTCCTTCGTGCTGCACCGAAGATACGGAACCTTCTCCAGCCAGCAGGGCTGTGGTGGTCAGGGTCTACCGAGGAACTGCTCTGTAGGGAGGCCCCCATCTGGACCACGCGCTCTGGGCAAGTTGCCTCTGGTTGCCCTCAACAGTCTCATCTCTTTCCATATTTAGCTGGGCAGCATTTACAGGATTCCCAGGGAGCCTGCAGATACAGGTCCCCAGAAATATTTGAGAATTCCACAGCCCCTTTCAAGGACTCAGACATATGGGACTTAAACAGACCAAGACAGGTATTTTGCTTCAACTGTCAGAGAAATCACAGCCTCCATTTCTCCATGGAGTTCCCTCCTACCTTTCAGTGCAGCGGTAGATGAGCATCAGGAGCTAGCAAGCTTTGTTCAGTCCTCAAAGGGATATCATCTGAAGCTAGAGAAGTTGGTCTGCTCTCCCCCATCCCAGAAGAAGAAGGCAAAAGGGAAGCCAGAGAGGCAGGTCGAGAAGTCCTCACGTAAACCACCGTTATGTCTGCCAGAGCACCCATCGGAGAGCCAGATCCAAAGAGCTCTTGGTTTTTCTAAGCACCTTCCTGCCAAGCACTGCTGTCTGGTGGTGGGAGGGGTTGGGGAGGGGGGGCTCAAGGGAAGATGTCAACCTTTGTATGGAGCTGATTTTATAACCATGCACTTTTGTAACTGTGAAGAATTTTTCATAAATGTACATTAATAATAAAGAGTTATAGTTTAATAAATTTTCTTAAGAGTTGTGAAGAGGAGGTAGTGAGAAGGAGGGGGAAAAAAAGAGAGAGACAGAAAGGAACTAGGCGGAACCAAAAGAGAATGTGCCAAAATATACACATAAAAGGTCTATGGGGAGGGAGGAGATGGGAATAATTAGGAGATGTGCCAGCCGTGGAGGGTATGTGTGGGAGAAGAAGAAACATCAGAGGAGCCTTTTTCTACCAGGCAAAGAAGAATATGCGTGTCTATATGCACATACCCCTGTGTGTAGGCATATTTGGTATCTGAAATTACCCAAAGACGAGAACATATGTTTTGTACATGTTGGTGTTTGCAGTTTGTGTCATCCATAAAACATGCCAAGGCAAGTGGGTATACCCACCTAATTAGCATCCTTGGGAGTATGTGCCAGGGAGGTGGCCAAAAAAAAGCCATTAACTGAGGTAGACATGTAAAACAGGTGTCTAAATGAACGATGTGGAGGATGGACATGGCCACTGCTGATACAAATTTAATTCCTATTTTCAAAGGTTAATAAAGAAGTGAAAGAATTCTGAACTTCCTGGGTCTTGTAAGTGTTGCCTGCATGGTCAGAAATTAGATGACTGAGCAGTGTGTCCCAAGAACAAGGGCAGAATACAGAGGCAGGTGTTCTATAAGCACAGTGGCAGCCATGTTTATCCCAGCACTCTAAATAGGAAGGGGCTCTCAACAGGAAGTCCACCCAAACAGGAAGTGACTCTAACAGGAACTGACTCCTTCCATCAAGAGTGATACAACATCCCTCTATTTCTTCCCCTTAGTTGCCACAGGGTACAGACAAAAGCTGCACTCACAGAGTCAAGCACTAAGTGGGATACAGACACTGACTCATGACACTCAGGTAAACAAAAAACATCCCTGACTGAATTAGCACTTTCTAGAGTAGGCTGGAGGGAAGGAAAACCTTCCTTTAAATATTTACATAGACTCCACTGCAAGTACAACATCTCACAGAGGATTACCTTTGCATGTTTCATTCGGCATTGTTCCTAATGCCAGTCATTTACCTAACAGGTGATGGTGGTGGTGGTGGTGGTGGTGGTGGTGGTGGTGACACTGAGCATTCCTTGTATGAGCATTCATTGTATGTTGGCTGCTGTGCCAAGCGGTACAAGCAGATTAACTCAGTTTATCCTAACCATGACTCAGACAAGATGCAGACAGGGTTACACGTGATAAAGTTGGATAGCTAGTTAAGCAATAGATCTGGATTTAGACAGTCAGTAAAACCTGGTGATTGACTGGATTCTGATAAGAGCAATATGGGACATGGAGGGACGGGGCGGGGGGGGGGGAATTCCAGTCTCAGAAGGAAGTAAGCTCTTATCCCCTAAGCTTCCCCACAGATAGGATCTGTGGGTTTCAGGGCCTCCTTTGGATACCAAACTCTGAATATGCAAGTCCCCTCTATAAAATGATGTAGGGTTTGCATATAAGCCATGCCCGTGCTCCCCAGTATATTTATACTTTAAATATAAGGTTCTCCCCAGGTTATTTATAATACCTAATACAATGTAAATGTTATGCAAATCGCTGTTCAACTGTACTGTTTAGAAACTAACAATGAGAAAAAAAACACCTGCACATGTTCAGTACAGAAGCAAATTGTTTTTTAATAGTTTCGTACCTCACTTAGTTGAGGTCACAGATATGGAGCCTGCAGAGAAGAAAGGTCAACAGGACTTGGTAAAAGGAAATCAGAACATAATCAATGAAACCAACATATCCCATGTCACTTACTTCCTGTAGCTCCGGTAGCCCATCAAAGTAGGCTAATCATGAGAACAGATGATCCCCAAGTCTCAACAGATTACAGATTTGTTTACTAGATTTTTGATATAACAAAGGCCTGCTCCTTGCTCGTGTTCCATCTCAGTGCATGTGAAAGGCTCCACTCCACTTGGTGATTCAGGGATCCAGGATCCCGCCATCCAGCGGTCCTGCCCACCCTGACTCCCCGGAGTCCTTCAGCAGGAGGATCTGGAGAGAGATCTGGAGGAGCCAAGGCTGGAAGGATTGCCCATCAATCACAGCCGTATTTCACCGGCCAAGACTCGGGCTCACGACTCCTAACTTGAAAGGTGTAGATGAGCTGTGCACTATGTGGCACTATCTGGTCACACGGTCTGCGTGGTCTGCAGTCACGGATGCTTCATTCACCCTCAACCCTTACCCTACTCCGTCACCACAGCCAGCTTCAAGCTCAAGACTGACAACGACTGAGTACTCGGTATCCTGGTGGCCTAGTGACCCAGAAACTAAATGGGAAACTTTCTTCCCTGCACCCACCCCACCCCACTCTGCACACACCTGATGTGCAGGATGACACAGGGACAAAATAACAGCACATTTAAACCCTTGTTCAGAAAGGGGGCTGCCACACCCCGTCTTTGCAGCCCACAATGCCTCTGAGGTCCTGTGAGAAAGCGCTTGAAAGGCCTGGGTTCCGTGGTTGGGGTTACCCCCCTTTACAGCCAGGCTCCTGCAGGGGCAAAAGCACCAACCTGACATGTGGCTGAGGCCTCAGTAGCGAAAGAGCTTTCTAATGCAGGTCCACAGTTTCTTAGCAATTTACTTCTCTGAAAAGCTTAGCAAGTTTCTGTTCTATTTCCAGTCCCTGAGTGTCATGTTTCCGTACACATGCGAAGTTCTTTCCCAAGCCCACCACGGTTCTCTCTGCTCAGCAGCGACTTCACAGCAGCAGGGAAGCCACACCCATGATGCCAGGGTTTTCCACCTGGTTAACTCACTTCATCTAGCACTGTTAGGGGGCCTTGTTCCCAAAGCCTCCGTCAATTTTCTCTTACCACACGGGTCTAGAAACAGTCGGCTCTTCCAGTTTTTTAATGCCTCCCCACCCTGCTTTTTTTCCCCTCTTTCTCTTTTTCACTTCCAAGCTGCTTCAAAATTAAAGCATTCAGAAACCTGATCTGGAGCCATTTCTGCTGAGATCAAACGCGTCTGGAACATGTAAACAATTATACAACGTGAAATTCAGGAAGGAAATGAAGCCCCTTGTTGAAAATGCGCATAGGGATAAGAGATAAGGACCCGGAGGGAGGAGCAGATTATCAAACTAAAAAGGATGGCAGAGTTTAGAAAGTGACCTCTACCAGCAGTCACCATGGCTGCAACAGGTCAGCCCCTGCACGGTAGCTAAGAGATTTCCCGAAGGAAAGAAATACTGGCTACATTCCACTGCTGGCCATTTCCCCAAACCGCTCAACACGGAGGGCGGAGATCATAGAGAAAATAAAAACAGAAAAGGGTTTCGAGGAAAAGGACATTAGCATCCCCAGCTTGATGTTTAGCTCCTAAAATCATCAGCATACACCACACGAAATTCCACAAAATGCATACTTTGGCTGATTTTCATAAAATTGAGAGTTCTGTTTCTATTGCTGAGCCAATAGTTAAAAGAGGTCACTGTGTGCAAAAATTAAAACACAGAGCTATCAAGATGGTTGACACAGGGAGACCCGGCCAAGAGATCCTTTCCCGAGTAACGGAGCAGTCACAACTTTGTTGTTTGTTTGTTTTTCACTTGCAGTTCAGGCTGGTTCTGAACTCACTTTTGTAGCCCAGGCTGACCTTGAACTCACAGTAACCCTCCTGCCTCAGCCTCTCTATGCCGGGATTACAAGTGTGTGCCACCATGCCCAGCAGTCACGCTTTGTCTTTTAACTATAGGAGGCAATCAGCATGTGTGGTGAATGTTTATGCTTTAGAAATGTGTTATAGTAAAAGACATGTTGCCATGAAGCCTCCTCAGGATACTCCCTCTCCCCGGCCCCTGGTTTGAACTGCTCTTGCCACTTTCTGAAGCAGCGCTGGAGCCCTCTTTCACAAATATCTGCACAAGTCATGATCCAAAAATGCAGTGAGCATGACCGCCAAGCACCAACCCACAGAAAGGCAGGCCCGTCCAAAGGTGATACGTCCTTATCCACCGCATCCGGCACCAGGCACCCCCTGGCTCTTCTCCAAAGTCAAAATGACCCTAAAAGGGAAAAGCTTAGAATGGATTCGGGACATCAAGGCAGCCAGGACAGCTCAGCTGAAGACTGTCAGGAAGGAGCATTCAGAGCTGCTGCAGAAAGAGTGGGCTGGCTGGGATGAGTGTGCTCAAAGAAAGGACAGTATTCTGAGGAAGGTCAGTGGCAGTGGCTCTTTAATTGTGAGAACATCCAAAGTGTATTTAGATGGCAGATGGCACACTGACCGCATGCTTCTGTGTGCTGGGACACACCGAGTGACAAAGCCCACTCTGGGTGCTCCGTGGGAAATGAGGAAGGTTGTATGCTGACTGGCAAGGGAGGGACTTCTGAGGACACCCAGGGGAAAGGCACCACAGAGGGGCACAGTGCTGGCATGGACCAGGTGGATGTGAGGGCACATTTGGAAGGCAAAGCAGTGGCATTGGCTGACACATTGCATATCAAGAGAGCACCAAAGAGAATCAAAAATAGCTCCCAATGTTTTTCTCTTAGCCTCGGTGACAAGTATCCTCAGGCAGATGTGAGTAGCGGAAAGACCGTCTCAGGCCTATGAAAACAATAGCGCCAACAGAGTGGACATTCAGAAGTCAGAAAACCCTGATGAGTGCATTGGAGGGCAGTGAGAGGAAGCAGATAGACAAACAGACTCAGAATGTCAGGAAACGGCCCAGAGCTGGGGCAGCTGAGTACGTGGCCTTGGTTCACACAGGCTGCAGTTTATCACTGCCCGTGTCCCGGTCCCAAGTGATTTCTCTTCCTCATCCTGGGGCTCAACTCCAGATCTTACACTGAGCCCCAACCCCAGCCCTTTTTAGTTTTTGTTTTTTATTTTTTTCTTTTCTTTTGAGACAGGATCTTACTATGTCCCCAAGTTCCCCACACTGGGTTTGAACTTGCGATCCCCCGCCTGCTACCCCCTGGAATGCTGGATCTCAGCTCAGCCGATCACACAGGGGTCTGCAGCCAGCAGCAGTGCAGGAGTTCCAGCCCAGTACACACAGCGATGAGCAAAGAGGGGCAGACCGTCAGCTGGGAGCCACAGCCCAGGGGCAGGGTGGGAAACCCCCTGGCTGTGGGCAGGAGGCAGAGCGGGGACACAGCTCTCCTCTCCGTGGGGCTCCATGTGTTTGAAATAGGAATCTCACCTAGAACAGCAGGAAGAATACCTGAAATGGACAGCATCCTAGTCTAAGCCGAGTAGTGACAGGTGACTGTGGCCCGCCATGGCCCTCAGAGGCTGTGGACGCCATGAGTAGGACATCACTGTGTCCACTGTGTCCACCAAGCACTTCCCTGACTGCAGCTCGCCGACATCTCATCACCACCCGGGAAACAGCAAGGACGGCAGAACCCGAAGCCAGAAGCCCGACACAGAGCATGCATATGGAGCCACAGAGCCCGAGTTCCAGTCCCAGCACTGCCCTTGCCGCCTCATGACCCTGGCGGGTGATGCCAGCCCTGTGTGTCGGAGGTTCTCTGACTGTAAATTGGAGAGGATTTGCTGGGTACTACCTAGGG